TTTTTTTTTTTACGAGTAATTTCTTCATGTATCAACTCAACTTGTTGAATTAATCAACTTATCTTAATACAAATTGTCAAACAATATCTCATCCACTTACTTGCTAGGATCATCAATTACATGAAAAGATAAACAAAACCAATACCTACGGTCAAAGGGAAACAAAAAAAGTAGAAAAGTTCTTTGAAAAAATTTGCGATTTATATAAATTATATGCATAAGGGGAAAATAACAATCAATGAAGGTTTTGGAAAGGAGAAGACCTCCATGTCAAAAAAAGATCGTCATGCCAAAGTTGAGCATAAATTCACCACATGCCATCCTTAACGCTTGAGTAAAATTAACTGAAGTGATTACTTTTCAGTGATTGCAAATTCTAACCTTTTTTCTTTTTCCTATCATCAGAAACCATTCAAAATAAACAAATATGACATCCCAGCGAAGATTATGATGTTCCCATTTTTTATTTTCTGATCTACAACAAACTGATGCATAAAGAAATCTTCATCATATTTGCATAGTAAGAACCAGAACTAACCAGATAATCAGATACTCCTCGTTCATAAAGCTTCTCAATTGCAGAAAATGACTCGGTTCTGCACAGAAGCATAACATAAATATACAATTGAACAAATACATGTATAACAAGTATATTTATTCATGCATAAACAATCAAACATAAAAAATGGGCACATGCTTAAATTTCTCTCTCTCCATTTTCTTGTACCATTTGCTTTTCTTTCTTTGCTTAAAGTTAAATTCTTCTCCGTAGTTCTTATCAGAAACCGAAAATACAAGAAAAATTCAAAAGTAGATTGGGAACACAGAAGATAAATAAGAAGATGAATCACCCGGCGATAAGAGAAGATTCATCCCTAGCCCAATCCTGCCACATAGCAGGGGTCAATGGAAACAGCTCACTCATAGCTTCCCTTGCTCTTCTTAGCTTCTCAATGTCACCAATTTTCCTCAAAAGCTTTATGTACTGAGAATGAAAGAAATAAATAGTTTAGAAAAAATCGCCAGAGATACCATTTTCTTGTGTGATTTTCCCTTTGCACTGTAATTTTTCCAGGCAACCAAACAAGTAAATACCAAGAGAGAGAAGAACCTGAACATGAGCGTCGTAGTTGGAAGGGTTGATGGCTAGGTCGTTCTCCAGAGTTTGGAGCTGAAGGTTGTCCTGAGCTTCGTCATCTTCGGAATCGGAGTCGGAATCGGAGTCGGAATCGGAGCCGGAATTAGGCGGAGAATTAGGGTTTTGGTGAAGCAAGTCCGCCATGGCAGTGTCTGCGTCATGGTTCGGATCGCCTTCTTCATCGGAAGTTGGCGGATGAGGTTTTAACGTTAGGGTTTCTTCCTCCATTTTCAAACTTTCTCCAGAATTTCTCCCTTCTCAGTTTTCACTTAACAAGTGGAACGTTTTCTTATTTAGAACAGCGTTATTTACAAAAGTAATACTGAATAAAAATAAAATAATTGACGCGTTTAAAATTTTTTTTAAAATTATTTTATTTTTTATATAAAAATAAAAATAAAAACGTTTTTAATCTCAAATA